TCCAATCCACTCACCTCAGCCTCCCAAAGGCACGGGATTACAGGCTGAGCCACCGAGCCCGGCTAGTGATCATTTTCTAAATGGACACACAGCAAAAAAATAACACGACAGAACCATTTTTTAGTGACTGTTAAATTTGGCAATAGAAGTGGAGGACACTTTTTCTCCCTAATTAAATTTCCAGAGCAGAGGTCTCCCTGGCTCCCTGTGGCTGTCAGGAGAGTGTCAGATGCCTGTGGTGGCACTGGTCATGTTCTGAACCTTGGAGTGGCAACAGGGAGACACAGTGTCATGACATAGCTTGTCCTTTGCAAGAGAGGACACATCACAGTTGGCAAGCACACAGGCTCATTTTTAGCATTTTATCTGAAAATTTTATTTATTTATTTATATTTTTTTGAGTTGGAATCTCACTCCGTCACCCAGGCTGGAGTATGGAGTGCAGTGGCATGCTCACGGCGACCCTAGCATCGACTGACTGGACCCCAGCGATCCTTCCGCCTCAGCCTTCCAAGTAGCCGGAACTACAGGTGTGTGCTACCACGCCCAGTTCATTTTTGATTTATTGTAGAGATGAGGTCTCGCCAAGTTGCCCGGGTGGGTCTCAAACCCGCAGGCTCAGGCAATTCTTTCACCTCCGCCTCCCAAAGTGCTGGGATTATAGGCTGCGCCATTGAGCCTGGCATTTATCTATCTATCTATCTATCTATCTATCTATCTATCTATCTATCTATCTATCTACCTACCTACCTATCTACCTACCTACCTACCTACCTACCTACCTACCTACCTACCTACCTACCTATTTATTTATTTAGAGTCAAGAGACTCTGTTGCCCAGGCTGAAGTGCAGTGGTACACTCATGGCCACTGCAGCTCCACCTGCTGGGCTCAGGTGATCCTTCTGCCTCAGCCTTCCAAGTAGCTGGAACGTTTTTGATTTATGGTAGACAAGAGGTCACGCCAAGTTGCCGAGGTCTCAAATTCCTGGATTCAGGCAATCCTTTCACCTCCGCCTCCCAAAGTGCTAAGATTATAGGCATGAGCCACTGAGCCCGGCCTGAGTTATTTGCTCAAAGTCACACAATTATTTTAACCACAGGATCTAGGTCCAAACCAGGATCTAGGTCAAAACCTGTACTTCTCATTACTCTATTCTTTCCATATATGCTATCATGATAGAGAACAAATTTTGTTCTCTTTTCTCTGGTCACATAGGAGTCCTGTACTTTCCAGTGCCCTTGTGCGACTCTGTTACTATTTCTAGCTAATGGGCTATGAGTGGAACTTCCAGGCTGAGGCACTTAAGAGCAGGTATGAGTTCTTTACTCTCTCATTGCCCCTGTTGCAGCAACCTGAAGCAATGGTCAGAGATGGGGGAGTTAGAAGATGAAAAGTGGATGAATCCCTGAGTCACTGCATGGCAAACAGCTGCTCTTGCCTGCACTGGACTTTTTGGAGTCTCACTCTGTCACCCAGGCTAGAGTGCAGTGGCACGCTGCTCATGACCACGGCGGCCTCCACCTGCTGGGCTCAGGCTATTCTTCCACCTCAGCCTTCCAAGTAGCTGGAACAACAGGCACACGCCACCACACCTGGCTAATTTTTGATTTATTGTAGAGATGAGTTCTTGCCATGTTGCCCATTCTGGTCTCGAATACACGGGCTCTGGCAATCCTCTCACCTCAGCCTCCTAAAGTGCTGGGATTACAGGCGTGAGCCACAGTGTCTGGCCCTAAGTGTTAATCTTGGGGCACTGATTAGTTATGATCTCTCTCTCTCTCTCTCTATCTATATATATATAAAATATATGAAAAAATATATGTATTTTTTTCCAGAAACAGGGTCTTGCTATGTTGCCCAGGCTAGAGTGCAGTTGCTACTCACAGGCACAATCATAGTGCACTACAGCCTTAAAATCCTGAGTTCTACGCCTGTAATTCCAGCTACGTGGAAGACTGAGGCGGAAGGATCACCGGAGCCCAGCAGGTTGAGGCTGCGGTGCCCGGGAGCGTGCCACTGCACTCCAGTCTGAGCGACGGAGTGAGACTCCAACTCAAAAAAAAAAAAAAAAAAAAAATCCTGAGCTCAAGTGATCTTCCTGTCTCAACTTCCAGAGTAGCTAGAAGAGACACCACTGCACCTGGCTCTATGTTTATTCTTTGTCCTAGAAGTTCTGTGCATAGAAATAGTTCTGTGGCAATGCTAGTAAATTGTTGAATCTATATTAATAAAAAAAAAACTATTTGCATTTACTCTGATTTTAAAAAGTTAATATTCAGTAGACTTTTAGTTTAGTTGAAAACCCTGTTCTATTTATGTCTAGATAATTTTAGCAATTACTTTGAAGAAGTTTTAAAACTTCTTAATAATTTGGTCCCATTTACGCATTCAATTAAATACCTTCAACTATTTAAAACTGCATTTATAAATGTAATATGTACTATTTTCTTTTAAATAGTATGCACTTTAATTGTCTGACAAATCCAAGTACCTAAGTAATTTTTATAAATCTAATAAATTAAACATATAGATATGGTGAACCTAATTTCCCTTAAATGTTTCACTAATGTATATAAGCTTAATAAGTTTTTTACTTAAAAAACATGAAATCTACTCTTTCCCATCCTGCAAGATGGTGGGTGAAAAAGTTGAGAAGCCAAATGCTAAGGAGAAGAAACCTGAAACCAAGAAGGCTGACGCTGGTGGCAAGGTGAAAAAGAGTAAGCTCAAGGCTAAAAAGCAGAAGAAGGGGAAACCCCACTGCAGCCGAAATCCTGCCCTTGTCAGAGGAATTGGAAGATATTCCCGATCTGCTATGTATTCCAGAAAGGCCTTGTACAAGAGGAAGTACTCGGCAGCTAAATCCAAGATGGAAAAGAAAAAAAAGGAGAAGGTTCTTGCAACCGTTACAAAACCAGTTGGTGGTGACAAGAATGGTGGTACCCGAGTGGTTACACTTCGCAAAATGCCTAGATATTATCCGACTGAAGATGTGCCTCGAAAGCTGTTAAGCCATGGGAAAAAGCCCTTCAGCCAGCATGTTAGAAAACTGCGAGCCAGCATCACTCCCGGGACCATCCTGATCCACCTCACTGGGGCCACAGAGGCAAGAGGGTGGTTTTCTGGAAGCAACTGGGCAGTGGCTTGTTACTTGTGACTGGCCCTCTGGTCCTCAGTCGAGTTCCTCTGAGAAGAACATACCAGAAATTTGTCATCGCCACCTCCACAAAAATTGATATCAGCAGTGTGAAGATCCCAAAGCATCTTATTGATGCTGACTTCAAGAAGAAGCAGCTGCAGAAGACCAGGCACTAGGTGGGTAAGATCTTCGACACAGAAAAAGAGAAATATGAGATTACAGAGCAGCGCAAGATTGATCAGAAAGCTGGGGACTTGCAAATCTTACCAAAAATCAAAGCTATTCCTCAGCTCCAGGGCTACCTGTGATCTGTGTTTGCCCTGACAAATGGTGTTTATCCTCACAAATGAGTGTTCTAAATTTCTTTGAAAGAACCTAATTAAAGAACTGATAATGTTTTAAAAAAAAAACATGAAATCTAAGTCATTTACTTGACTATCTGTTTTTGATACAAACTTATAGAAAGTGCCAAGAATTTACATTGCAAATAAATTTTTTTTTTCCTGAGTTGGAATCTCACTCTGTTGCCCAGGCTGGAGTGCAGTGGTATAATTATGGCCACCGCAGCCTAGACCTCCCAGGCTCAGGTGATCCTACAGGCATGTGCCACTATACCTGGCTAAGTTTTGGATATTTTTGTAGAGACAAGTTACTGCCATGTTGCCCAGGCAGGTCTTGAACTCCTGGGCTCAAGCAATCCTCCTGCCTCGGCCTCCCTAAGTGCTGGGATTACAAGTGTGAGCCGTGGGCGTGGTAGTGCACCTGTAGTTCCGGCTACTAGGAAGGCTGAGGTGGAAGGATTGCCCGAGCCCAGCATGTCGAAGCTGGGGTGGCCGTGAGTGTGCCACTGCACTCCAGCCTGGGCAACGGAATGACTCTATCTCAAACAAACAAACAAACAAACAAACACAAAAAAACAAGTGTGAGCCACTGTGCCTGGTCAGAACTTTTTATCTGAACCAGAGAATAAGTTTCTAACTCAGTGCTTCATCGCCTCTAGCTATTTTAGTGTGTGTTTTCCTAGAAACAAGGACAGTTTCCCATCTAACCACAACACAGACTTTAAAATCAGATTAACACTAGTATGTCACTACCATTAGATTCTCACACCCCATTCAAGTTTTGCCAATAGTTCTAAAAATGAGCTTTAGAAGGCAGATTCAGTTCAAAATCCGGTGTCACATATAGTTGTCATGTCTCTTCATTCTCCTTCAGTCTGGAATAGTTTCCTCAACCTCACATCCTTGATGTTTCGGTGTGTCTGATCTTCATAATTAGATTTGGGTTATGCATCTTGGGCCGAAAAACTACAGAAGTGATGCTGTGTTTTTGTTTTTGTTTTTTTAATTTTTTTTGGAGTTGGAGTTTTGCTTTGTTGCCCAAGATAGAGTGCAGTGGCACCATCATGGCTCATCACAGCCTCAAACTCCTGGGCTCAAGCAATCCTCCTGCCTCAACCTCCTGAGTAGCTGAGACTATAGGAGTGCACCACCATGCCCAGCTAAGTTTTGTATTTTTTGTAGAGATGAAGTCTTACTGTGTTGCTCAGACTGGTCTCGAATTCCTGGACTCAAGCAATCCTCCCACCTTGGCCTCCTAAAGTGCTGGAATTACAGGTGTATGCCACCATGCCCAGCTGATGCCCAGCTGATGCATTCTATTGACTGGTGCACGACTTCAATTGTTCTCATTACTAATGATGTTCCCTTAGATCACTTGATTAGGACGGTGTCTGCCAGTTCTCTTATTGTAAACTTAATTCTCATTATAACTAATCAGTATCTTGTAAAAATGCATCTGGAAGCAATGTGAATATCCCACTGTGTATAAAAGTTTTTGTTTTTTCCAGTTGAGGTTTCACTCTGTCGCCCCAGTTGGAGTGCAGTGACATATTCACAGCCACTGCAGCCTTGACCTGCTGGGCTCAGGAGGTCTTTCTGCCTCAGTCCTCCAAGCAGCTGGAACTACAGGTGTGCATCACCATGCCCAGCTAATTTTTTGATTTATTGTAGAGACGAGATCTTGCCAAGTTGCCCAGGCTGGTCTTGGACCCCTGAGCTCAGGCAGCCCTCTTGCTTCCGCCTCCCAAAGTACTGGGATTACAGGTGTGAGCCACCATGCCCAGAGATTGATAAATTAATTAACTAATTTAAAGTTTTATTAAAACTTTTTTTTTTGAACCAGAGTCTCATTCTGTTACCCAGGCTGGAGTGCAGTGGCACGGATGGTGGGTGGATTGTTTGAGCCCAGGAGTTCGAGACAAGCCTGGCCAACATAGTAAGGCCTCATCTCTGGCATTTTAGAGCATTAGCTCATTGCTGTTGGGGTAATGCTGCCCCTGGGTCCTCTCAGTGGACAGAAACAGAGAGAAACCTGGCTTCCATTACCCTTAATATGTTGACTTATTTTATAAATACCTGTGCATGTCATGAGTCTCCCATCTGGGCTGCCATACTCCTTTCTCTGCTTGGACGCTAACTCCCTGTCCTTAGCCACCCCTGCATGGATCCCCTCTTCATCCTGCTCAGGGTCTGACTGTCTGTTCTGGGCCATGGCCGTTCCGTATCCTCTCTCTGCAGATCCAACCGATTCTTGTTACTCACAGTAGCTATATTAGAAAAGGTCACCGTGAACACTGAATTAGTGAATGCTGAATCATTACTCCTAGGGGAAATATAGGGTTAGGTTCCCAAGGGCCTAAATGGTCACAATATGTTTGTCAACTGATTAATACGTAACCTTATTTTGTGTGTGTTTTTGTTTAAAGACAATTTATTTATTTATTTATTTGAGTTGGAGTCTCACTCCATTGCCCAGGCTGGAATGTAGTGGCATGTTCATAGCTACCACAGCCTCGACCTGCTGGGCTCAGGCAATCCTTCCGCCTCAGCTTTCCAAGTAGCCGGAACTACAGGCATGTGCTACCACGCCCAGCTAATTTTTTGATTTTATTGTAGAGATGAGGCTCACCATGTTGGTCAGGCTGGTCTCTAACCCATGGGCTCAGGCAATCCTCTCGCCTCAGCCTCCCAAAGTGCTGGGACTACAGGCTTGAGCCACCACACCTGGCCAAGATAACTTATTAATAGATGTTGATTCATTAGCATTGAACTCATGACCAACAGCACTATAATTCATGCCTGAACGAAGCTCATTACAACACAATGTATCTTCTACAGAAGGCACATGGCAGTCTTGCACTTAGGAATGCTAGACAGAGCTTCAGCACTACATATAGGGGCCATTTTAAACCGCAAAATTATGAATAAAAGACAAAAATGTAGAACATGGCATGAAACAGACTGTGAAAATGCCATTTCTTCACAAAATAAGATCTGAAATTGGAAGTTAGAGTGTTGTCTTCTTCTGACTTGACTGGAAGAGGTGGTCTCACTATGTTGCCCAGGCTGGTCTTGAACTCCTGGCCTCCTCATCCTCCCACCTCAGTCTCCTGAAATGCCGGGATTACAGGTATGAGCCACCACACCCAGCCTGTGCTTGTCATTTGACACAAATTTTTCACTACTCTGTGCATGTTGGTGAATGTCTGCAAAAGCGTTGTATTGACTTTCGGATTATAAAGAAATTTTAGTGAGTAGGCAAATTCACAAATATAGAATCTATAAATAATGTGGATGGCCTGTATCTGTCTTGCTCTGGCTCGCCTTTAGGACTGACAGGGAGGGGATGTGAAAGAGAAAGAGTTGATTGCACATTTGAAATGGAGGTTACAAGGCAGAGCTGTTACACTAATAGGTCAGATTCTTATAAGCACTGTAAGCACCTAAATGCCAAATATGTGCATCCTTTGGCCAGGAACACAATGAAAGAAAGAGAGAGCGGGGAGAGAGAGAGGAAAGAGGAAGAAAAGAGAGGAAGAGAAATAAAGAAAGAAAGAGAATGAAAGAGGAAGAGAGAAAAAGAAAGAAAGAGATGAAGAAAGAGGAAGACAAAGAATGAAAGAAAGGGAAAGAGAGAGAGTAGAAAAGAAGAAAGAAAGAAATTGTATCAGGCTAGAAAGACACTTATCCGCTAAGGGGACTATTTGATTTTATTGTAGAGACGAGGTCTCACCATGTTGGCCAGGCTGGTCTCTAACCTAGGGGCTCAGGCACAATTTTTGAGCTGTCTTCTCACATCATTTCTGAGGTTGCCTCATTGACTTACAGCACTTGAGTCTGCAAAACTACCAAAGAAGTGGGCTGCGGACGGGCTTTCGTCAGTGACCTTGACAGGCCGCAGGGAGTCAGAGTGTTCCCAGCCAGCTTGCACCGGCTCCTGAGAGCCGCCAGCACAGTCTCTTCCCAGCCCCACATCCTGGGACCATCTTCTGGGTAGTTTGAAATTGGCCATGGTGGGTGTTTTTACACCACAGAAATCTGCAAATGCTACCAGCCAGGGATTTTTTTGGGGGAGAAATGGTTGTTAAACTGTACCCAGCACACCACTGCCATGAACTCTATTTATAGTCGCTGTATCGATGACTTCATAACCCAAAAAGGGAATGCTCACACAGCCGGAGACCCTTCTGACCTCCTCACGAGTCTTCAGCTCTTATATCACTTGTTTGGATACTGCATTTCTTTGGCTCTGGAGGTATGTAACCCCAACTCTGAAGGTTTCCATTTGATGGATTCCCGCATTCTTCCTGGGACCACACAACTCTTGCAGCTATGGAAATAAAACCCGACGGCGTCGAGGCCCTGTTTCTCAGCTTTGCTCGGTTCAGTCGTGACCTCGGAGGTCACCCAGTGTTCCCGGCCTCCCGCCCACAGCCTGAACCTGGCCCACGTCCCCCCGCAGCGTCCAGCCCCGGGACCTCAGGCTATAAATTTTCATCACCTCTTTTTTTCTGTTGAGGGTCCAGACAAGGGTTCCTTTTGCAGACAAGCCCCCCGGCCTCACAGCCTGGGGTGCAGGCACCCCTCTCCCGCCTGCCGGTCTCCCCTTGCCGGCGGAGTCATCACAGCCGGTTTCCCAGCACCTGGCACCAGCATGTGGACAAAGAACTCACGCTGTTGTGCTGAGCCTGGTGATTCAGGCCGTAAAACTGCAGGCCAAGTTGTTAAACCCAGATTCAGGTAGACAGCCAAACAGGGCCAAGGCTGCCCTGCAGCTGGGTTTTGGCAGACAGAGCCGTTTCCCCATCTGCGGGAGCCTTGGTGTGGCCTTTCCCTCCAGGAGGCAACGCCGGTATAATTTATTGGGCCGTAATTGTTGAAAGCAACAGTCCTTCAGGCCATTCATTCAGGCCCCAAATATTTCTTTATTGAGCATTCCGAGTGTTCTCAGCCTCGTGCTCTGTGGCAGGGTGTGTGTGTGTGTGTGTGTGTGTTTCAGGCCCCAAATATTTCTTTAT